CGGGGGTAGGGCCTGAAGGGGCGGGCAGCCAATAGGAAGGCCAGCGCGGTGAAGGGGGGGGGACGGCTCACGGGGTCTTAGGCGGCAAGATGAAGACAGGTACAGCAGAGAGCCAATGGGCGGCCGCGCGCGGATGACGCAGGCGGTGAACTGAGCGCAGGAGAAGCATGCAGCCAATGGAGATGCCCGAGAGTGGGCGGTGTAGGAGGCGGGATGATCGCGGAATCAATGGGGCGGTCGGAAATGGGGTGGTGTGGAAACCACGAATGAAGAGAGCTAATGGGGAAGTCTAAGCGAGAGCGGCAAGCGGGCGGCGGAGGAAGTGGAATGGCTACAGGCGATGGGGGCAGCAGGGAGCGAACGGAGGGGCCGGAAAAGTGGGAGACCCGTAGGCTGCGTAAGCGGTGGGACGGAAGTTAGAGACAGAGAACAGCCAATGGGGAGCTGCGCGCGGGATGACGATAATGGCTACAGCGAGCCAATGGGAGTTTTTTGAGCGTGCACTACGACTTGAAGAGGCGGTGCCAGGGTGTAACTACCCAATATAGAGGCTAAAAAGGACCAAGAGGCGATGAGTGAGCGGTCACGGAGGCGGGACCGTAGCGTGCAGAGCCAATGGGGACGGGGTATGAGGGCAGGAGTTAGAAGGGATGGCTGACAGCCAATGGGGAAACCAGGGTGAAGGCGGTGAGACACCCATCCCCCGCCACAAAGGGCAGTGCTAGTATGGGACTAACCAATGCTGGAAAGTATAGCGGGACTAAGGGAGGAGAGGCAAGACGGGAAAGAGCAGATCCAATGGGAGCGGGGTAGGTGGTGCAAAGGAAGTCATGAATAGCCAATAAGGAGGCCAGAGGGGAGGACGGTGCGTGGGCAGAGTCTGGGCTATTGGGTGGTCCCGCAGCAGAACTGTAGAATGTGGGCAGCTAGTAGGAAGAGTATGCCTGTCGGGGATGGATTCACCTTCTCCCTAACCGTCCTTAAGTCCCTTTTGCCCTAGGAATGCCCAGAGCCCCTGAGGCCTAGACTGCCATCCTAGTATGAGTCCTAAGAAAGCAATAAGGTGCCCCTGCCCACCTCCCAGTCTTTGCTTGCGCTTTGCCACTTGGCAAGAATGCCCCTGATTGTCATCCCCAGCATTATCCAAGACTTGGCACCATTGTTGAATGAAGAGCCAAATGGGAAATTAAACTTTGTGAAGGATTAGATTTTTCTAACTTCACCTCAGCAAACACTGAGCTTTTGTGCCACCAGGAGTTAATTGGGCATGTTGGTAGACACTGGCTAACGTAATCACAAGCCAAAGCCCTGTCCTTCTTGCCCAACCCTATACTCCACACCCCGCGGTGGCCTCACCTCTCTTCTTTATGTCCCTCATCTCGGATCCTACAGTTCCCTCTCCCAAGAGTGCTGTCAACTCCTTTCACTCTCCCTTTGAGGTCTCACCTCCTGCGAAAACTGAGCTGTCTTAGTGTCCGGGATGGGGTCATGGGTCAGGAAGGAATACGTTCAGCTGCAATTAACAGAAAAATCACGAAATAATGGGGGCTTAAACAAGATAGAACTTTATTTTTTTCTTACCTAAAAGTTCAAGCTGGCAAGTAGTCCAGGGACTACTTTCTGCCCACCTGGTTTGGGCATTGTCTATGTCCTGGTCCTCCCCAAGACTCTCTTCAACAAATCCTGTCTTCGCTATTCAAACTATTTCCAAATTCCTGGCTGGCCGGTTAGCTTAGTTGGTTAGAGTGAAGCCTTATAGCAAAATATTTCCCAAGGCCACGGGTTCGGATCCTATATAGGGATGGCTGGTTTGCTCACTGGCTGAGCGTGGTGCTGACAACACCAGGTCAAGGGTTAAGATCCCCTTGCCGGTCATCTTTTAAAAAAAAAAATTCCCCGGGCCGGCCCGTGGCTCACTCGGGAGAGTGCGGTGCTGATGACACCAAGGCCCCGGGTTCGGATCCCATATAGGGATGGCTGGTTCGCTCACTGGCTGAGCGTGGTGCTGACAACACCAAGTCAAGGGTTAAGATCCCCTTACCGGTCATCTTTAAAAAAAAAAAAAAAAAATTCCCCAATCCACCCTCAGCTCACCACCTCCACTGCCAGCCCCATCAGCAGTCACCTGGACCACTGCAGTAGCCTCCACCCTGGCCCCCTAGACTCCGTTTTACCTCAGCAGTCAGAGGGATTCTGTTACGTCCTAAGACAGTTTACGTCCCTCTTCTGCTCACAAGCCTCCTATGGCTTCCTCCTTACTCAAGTAAAAGCTAAAGCCTTTACTTAAAAGCCTACAAGGTCCTGCATGGTCTAATACCCCTAGTCCCCTCTCTGACCTTACCTCCTACCCCTCTTCCTCTCGCTCACTCCACTCTAACCACACCAGCCTCCTTGTAAACCTTGAACAAAACAGGTACACTCTCACCTCAGGGCCTTTGCACTGGATGTTTCCTCGGGGGTTCCTCATATATCTGCATGACTCCCTCCGTCATCTCCTAAAAGCCTTTGTCAAAGGCCCCCTTCTCTGGGGACTTTCTGTGACCTGTTTAATCCTGCCCACTCTCCCCCAACTCCCAGCCCTCCCAATCCCCTTCTCCAGAAGCTTTCCATGTGAGAGGATATAGTCCAGTATAGACAGGAGGTAGTGACCTCTGCCCACCTGTCCCCCAGCCCTCATTCTGCAAGGATCCTGACTTTCAATGGCAGCAGCGTCACCCCTCTCACACCCTGTGTCCCTCTCAAGTGGCCTCCTGAGAGTCTTTGGGCTACCATCCTTGCTCAGTTTTCCTCCTACTTTTCTGGCCACTCTCTCATGGAGTGAGTGGCAGTAAGGGAGAGATTGGTCTGGGGAGGATTAGGTAAGGTGGATGCGGCCCAGACCTCTGACCCTAAGAGAGAAAGCCAGTCCTCTCTCCCAGAAAGGAACAGATGCTGGGGCAGGGAACAAGGCCTCAGCTTCTCTAACTGGCCTGATTTAGAATTGCACAGGATGTGTAGGGAATGTTCAGACTCAAGTCCACAGGGAGGAGGGAGTCATTAACCTTGGAGACATCCCTGCAGTCGGCTCCCCAGGACTCCTTCCTGACAAGTGTGCTCCTCACCCCCTCCATTGCTCCTGTTCTCTCCCACATGCCACAACATCTGTTAAGCACCTGCTGTACACAGGGTCCCTGCAGGCCTCCTAGCTGGAGACCTCATCCCACCTTGGTGCCTCCCCTGGCTGCCCAGCACACTCAGGCCATCTTTGGGTCTCAGACGTGTCCCACCAACTCTGAAGCCTCAACCAGAGAAAGTTTTGTTTTGAACTAATGGTAGAGAGGGTTGGGTTTTCTTTCTTTTTTTTTTTTTTTTAATTGTTGTTGTTGGCTGATTTTTTTTTTTTTTAAGGTTTTTTTTTTCTTTTCCCTTTTTTTTTTTTTTTTTTTCTTATCTGCACAAAGCCGGGACATCAGGCCCACTCTGGGCTTTTCCAGAAGGGTGAGTTTGAGATGAGGAAAGAGGGTCTCCCTTGTTTTTTGGTTTTTTTTTTTTTTTTTTTTTTTAATTGTTGTTGTTGGCTGATTTTTTTTTTTTTTAAGGTTTTTTTTTTCTTTTCCCTTTTTTTTTTTTTTTTTTTCTTATCTGCACAAAGCCGGGACATCAGGCCCACTCTGGGCTTTTCCAGAAGGGTGAGTTTGAGATGAGGAAAGAGGGTCTCCCTTGTTTTTTGGTTTTTTTTTTTTTTTTTTTTTTTAATTGTTGTTGTTGGCTGATTTTTTTTTTTTTTAAGGTTTTTTTTTTCTTTTCCCTTTTTTTTTTTTTTTTTTTCTTATCTGCACAAAGCCGGGACATCAGGCCCACTCTGGGCTTTTCCAGAAGGGTGAGTTTGAGATGAGGAAAGAGGGTCTCCCTTGTTTTTTGGTTTTTTTTTTTTTTTTTTTTTGAGGGCTTAGAAGGTGGGAGTAGGAAAAGGGGCAAAGTGGTGAAGGGGCGGGTCTTGACCACTAGATTTGTACCATGTGAGTAAAAAGCCATCTCCAATTTATCTTCCCCAGGCCTGAAGCCAGTCTTGCAGAGGGGTTGGAGTGGACATTGGATGACTAGAACCCTGGGCCATGCAGGGCGCTAGAAGTCTCAGCCATGGCCTGTCAGGAGAAGCCCCTGGAGGCTGGTCTCCCGCGTTGACCAGTGGTTGGAGAGAGTACCCACTGAGGTGAGGAAATGCGGTCACCGATTCTTGGACAACCTTAAAACCTCACAAGCTTC